GTACGTCGCGCCGATGTTGCTCGGCACTTAGAAACCTAGAGAAGGAGAGGCATCAGCATGAAGGCCACCCTGAGAACGGTTATTTTCGCCGGGACTCTTTTGACCGCGACCTCGGCATTCGCTGGGGAGCAGACCGTGACCCTGGAGGTCAGCGGGATGACCTGCGCGTCCTGTCCCTACATCGTCAAGCAGTCTCTGGCCGCTGTCGACGGCGTGACGGATGTCGAAGTCTCATTCGCGGAGAAATCCGCGGTCGTCACCTGTGACGACAGCAAAACCGAAGTGGCAGCACTCACCGCCGCGACTGGCGATATGGGCTTTCCCTCCACGGTGAAAGAATAGACGACCGTGAATGAAAAACTCCTCGCCGGTCTTGTCGCCGCTGTTGCCATCGCACCACTCTGTGCCGTGTGCATTCTTGGGCCGGCGGTGATCGTCTCGCTCTTCACGGGCATTGCGGCGTGGTTTAGCGGTTTCGATGCGGTTGTCACGGCAGGCCTCGCCCTTGTCGCGGGAATTGCCGTACTCGCGATTGTCCGTAAGCTGCGTACCTCGGCAATGCCGGCAGGAGAGACCAACCAGTGAACGACAAAAAACTACTTCGCACGGGCTCCATAGGGGCGACCATCGCCGCCATCTGTTGGTTCACGCCCGCCCTGGTCGTTCTCGTCGGGTTTGTGGGACTATCGGCAATCGTCGGCTGGCTCGACTACGGCTTGTTCCCGATCTTGTTCGCCTCCCTGGGGCTGGTTGCCTACGCGCTTTATCTGCGCGCCGGCCGCCAGGGTCCGTCGCCGACGCCTATGATCGTCGTGGCCGTCGTTGCACTTTCCGCGCTGCTCTTCTGGCTCGAGTTCAGCTACGCGCTGCGCATCTCCATCGCGGCCACTCTTACCGTTGCAGCCTATGCCTACTACTTGCGTGCGTGTGTGCGGCGGCAAAGTGGCCAATCGGCCGATGCAAAAGGAAGCAGTCTATGACCGATGAGTGTTGCGGTAACGGCAAACCAAACGGACGGTATGATCTCGCCGTCATCGGCGCAGGATCGGCCGGCTTTTCGGCCGCGATCACGGCTGCCGATCAGGGCGCACAGGTCGCTTTGATCGGCCATGGAACCATCGGTGGCACTTGCGTCAATGTGGGCTGCG